CCACATGCAGTTCTGGCTGGAGACAGCACCTGCTGCACTTGCAGAGTGCTCCAGCATTGGAAGCCCTACAAGCAAGAGGTGTATTGAAATATGTGACAGCTTCCAAGGCTTTTTTCTTTAAAACACCTCAAAGCATTGAAGTAATTTGGGCTAATGGAAAAGAGCCCCAAACATTTGGCTCCTGTTCTATCTGCTTCATGTCAGCATCAAAATATACATATATAGAGGGGAAAAAATGCAGGACTGATAGAAGGCTGAGGTTAATGAGAAATATTTTAGGACAAATGATTTCTGTGATTATGGAATTAGTAGAGCTTAAAAAAAGTAATTTAAAAGGGATGAGGCTAGTTACAAAACCAGGCTGCCAGGGTTACGAGTCACTGATATGATACAGGGTAGAAATTCTTCTCTGTCTGTGCTATGGAGTGAACACTCTTCCTCCCATGATATGACAGAAGAAAATTATTTGGTAACTCTGTAATAATTTGTAATAGGCAGGTATGTGTTTTAGTGTTTTCTTGCTTTTAGTCAATATGCTTTTATATGATAGGTGTGTGGATGTGTGCAGATTTCAGTTGTAAAAAAACTGTGTGCAACAGATGTTATTGTAGACCTCACCTCTTGTCATCAATATGCATGTTTTCTGTAGCTTTCAGAATCTGAGTGTTGGTTTGGATATTGTATTAGAGCACACTAGAAGTCTTGCAAGTATTCTAAATAGTCTTTTAAGTGTGTGTACCACAAGTCTTTCCAAGACGGTCACTAGAAAATCTAATTTGGGGTCTAGGAAGGTAACAGAGAAAATGAAAAGTGTTCTCATCAGAAGTTTTACACTTTTTACTAATTCTCCTAGTGTAAAAAAATGCTTGTTGATTTTTTGCTCAGGAAACGTGCTACTTTATTTTCTTTAATTTAAAAATAAAATCAGAACTATCAACAGACCATATATAAAAGTGATGGTAAAAGGAATCGTTCATACATGATATGAAAAAGAAATAGGTATTTCTAAAGGAATATAATTTATCTTGCAACTGAGAGTGGTAGATGAAACATAGTCAGCAGACAGAACCAAAGTACTATTAAACCAGTGTCTCACCCAGGGCTACAGCTGTCAACCTGACACATCTGAGCTTTCTCATATTCCTAATAATTGGAAAGAGATTTTTAAAAGGAAGTTTCTTGACAAAGAAGTACAAACATTTCTCATCTTTTTCACAACTAAGGAGAAGGAAGTCAGAAGCAGTAGCATGATTTCAGTCTTTTCACCATATGACATCATAAAGCTGATGAAGCACAAAAATCACAAAATGAAGAGCATCAGATCTGCACAACAACAAAACAAAAGAACAAATTTTAATTACACATCTCTTTTACAGACTCTCTCACTAATGATTTCAATTCCTTGGAATTTGTATCCACTCATATCCAAGCTTAGGCATGTGTCTGAAAAGGAGTGGAAAAAAGAGTGAAGATTTATACAAGTTACAAATTCACTTGCTCAGCAGTGCAGAATAGCTGGTATTGCATTTGCCACTTCTGTTTCATACAGTTTAAGTATATTTAAAATTTATATTCTGGATAAAAGAATTTTGATAGTCTGCACTGTGCAATAGAAAATGAAGGAGCTGAACTGTGTGGTCCTCCCTCTGCCTTTAAAAGCATGGCCTGAACTACAACCTGATGGAAAGCAATAGACAAGAATGTCCATTTTTTTTCCAAGAGTCCTGTATTTTTTTCATTAAATTATTTCTCAGATTTGCAGAAAGAAACATAGTGCTGCTAATATGTAGTCTAACACATCACTTTTTCATTGTCAGGAGTTCAAAGTGGGTTTATCCACTTGAAACCATGGAGATTGTTTAGAATAATCACAGTACAGTGATTCCACTGGAATTTAATAGCTGGAACAAGATCTTCCTGACTGTTTTAAAATGGATTACAATATGTTTATGGTTGCATCCAGCTTGCTGATAGCATGAGCAGTACCCTCTTGTCTCAGGCTCTGCAAAAGAGGCCTTATGACTGCCCCCGGGCACTGAATTTGCACCAAGTGTCCCAATCATGTCTTGTCAAGGGAAGATGAAATTAGACCATAGATGAAATACTGTTGGCCATTTTTGCTGTGCATGTGCACTTCGTGTCACATCTGTGTGTGGCTTGGTTTTCTATTCCTGGTAAGTTTTGAAATACACAGAGATACCACTCTTGCAGCCAAACAAGCACAGGAGTAGTTGTGTAGTATAAAACAATGCCAAAAAAAAAAAAATATACTGCTCTGTGTTTTATTATTACAGTTTTATTATTATGTAATACAATATTGTGTGGTATGATCATAGAAAACAGGGAATTCATTACTGCAAAGGACTATAGCTAAAGCTGAATAGGATGTTGAGGTACATAGATATTTTTTTCCTGACAGTGTTCCTAGTGTAGCCCTAAATACACAGAAGATGGGCTTAGAGTATCCTTTGAGTACCCCAGGGCAGCTAAAATCTACAAGCTTTGATCATTATGGCTGGCAACAATTGTAATATCAGAGTATATGCTTGTGTTTACAGGTACTGTCTGCAGTTTCATTACAAGAGAAAGTAGGACATTTCCTCACTTAAATCCAGTTAATGGTAGTGGGTTCTTATTTTCCTTTTTCCTTTTCTTTTTTTTTTCTTCCTTTTGTTTGTGATCTGTAATGTTCAACACAGCTTTTGCTGAGAATGATGCTTTGTAAGATGTGTTAGCCATGACTCATTATTCTCTCTTGACTGAGGTGCAAGTGTACGCCACCTCCTTCAAAGGCTTCTGAAACCAGAATATTTTTGCAAAAGTTTCCTCACTTTTTCTTTGGCACTTTGTCTAGTGCACAATTACTCAAGCTCTCACAGTGTCAAGAAAGACACAGCAGTGCTATGTTTTAGAAGGTGGGAAAAGTAGGTACATACTTTCCTATTGAGGGGGAAAAATTTTTTAAATAATTTTCTGGTGTTTTATTTACCCCAAAACATGCAAGGAGAAAGGTACTTCTAAAATCCCTGTGGCTATCTGTCATTATATTGTCCCCCTCACTAACCACAGACAAAGAATTTTCTTTTACCCTTCTGGAAAGCAGATTGTGGCATACCTGCTATACATGACAAGCCAGCCAAGTGAAAGGTGATGCCTTCTTTCCATGCCCCTGCTGTTTCTTCTGCTACACAGAGCTGCAGTGCTGGGAGGGGTGTCACAAAAGTTGCTTGTCTCTTGTGCACAGAGAACCTCAGACAGGCCTCAGAGGAGCTGTTTTTCTTGTTCTGCAAAGTGTCCAGTCAGGAGATCCCAAAATCCATGGCAAGACTGTCCCACAGATCAAGGAGAAAGCTTTCACTAACATAGTGTTTAACTATGTTACTTAAGGACTTCTCTAGCTCCAGTTAAGGACTCATCCAGTGGGACTCTAGTGGGTTGGCTGTGGCTCACCTCCTCCCAGCAGAATGGGAGAGAAAACTGGAGGAGCAGAAGCAAGAAAACCCATGGCTCAAAATAATGACAGAGAGATCACTCATCATATAATTTTTTATGTCAGGCATACTCAGCCTAGGGAATTCAATTTGCTTTATACCCAGTTAATATAAATATTTAATTCCAAATCAAGTATTGGGAAACAAAAAAGACAAATATTAAAATACTTAGGGGAAAGACTGTTTCCCCTTTTCCAGGCTTGCTTCACTCCAAACATGTGTCCTCCTCACTACCTCACCACAGCATCATTCTTACACCTTGTCATAGCTGCAGGTGCAGTCAGTCCTTTCAGAGCAGCTGTGAGCAGTGCAGGGGACTGGGGTCAGAATGTCACAGTTTTTCTCCGCTGCTTCTTTCTTCTTGCACTTTTCCTGTTCTCTAGTGTCCAAGTCCCTCTGGGCATGTACCTGCTTCTCATGAAGCAGCTCCTCATCCTCATACCATGCTGTTCCCTCATTCCCATCTCCTGCACTGTGGAGCTGGCTAGATCTGGGTGTGCCCATCATGGGGCAATCCCAAATTTTTCTCACAGCAACCATGTCACAATCTATGGATACCTATTGGTTGATTGCTGTCCTCCATTTCAGTTACATTCTATACATGGGTGATTGGTTTGTTCTTCAACAAGCTGGTTTTTTTTCCAGATTAGCTAAATGTGCTTCCTTCAGCCTTTCCTCATAGGTCGTCTTTCACTTTCTTTTGTATTCCTTCCATTTCATCTCCTTTATAATGTCATGCCTGAAACTGGATGTAGAAGCAGGGCAAAGACTTGTCTGCCTTTAGAAAATTACATCATTGCGTCTCTTGCCTTACCCCAGACAGTTATTGCACAACAGACACATATTTTGTTTTGCTTTTGTCTGATCACAATTAATTGTCTCTACACAGCATTTTAAATGCACATTAATTTCTCCTTCTGAAGTACGTACTAAGCACATTCTTAGTTTTGCCATGTTGATTTTGGAGTCTCCTCAGTTTGTCTAATTTGTCCTCTTGAATTCCTGCCATCCCCTTAAGCTTGGAGGCCTTCTCCTCCCTCATTCCCTGTTCACACAGGACCTTGAGGAGCTCCTGCAGCAGCTGGCTCTTCTGTGCCTTCCCCGCTGCTGTGCACACCTGTGCTCATCTGCTACCATTTCCTAAGCACAGTGCACTCTCATGTTGGTATTTTGGACCTCCTGCTTTCCCACACCAAGTCTTTGAGCTGCCTGTTATACCCCATATTTTGGTTAGGCTATGAAGATTTCTAAAAACCCCTACTTATATTTTTCTTTGCTTGTCAAATCTGTGTACAGGTGGTAATAAATGTGTTTGGAAGATTTAGCAGCCCTCTCCCTCACCATTTTTTAGAAATGATAGCTGTGTTTGGGCATGGCTCAGACAGACTCCCAGGTGCCTTTAGAAACCATGGAGCAAGTGAAGAGCATGGCTCATCTGCATTTTACTGAGCTCCATTTATGGTCATAGAAAAAGTAATCTAATAAAGAATTTTAATGTGTGTGTTTCAGCCATGGGAACAAAGAAGTATTTTCTTGTCGAGGAATCAAACTGGCAGTAGATTGGTTTTTGGAGAGAGGCCACAAGGATGTTACTGTGTTTGTGCCAGCATGGAGGAAAGAACAGTCAAGACCAGATGCACTTATAACAGGTAAGCTCCCTCTTTGCTTGTTTGTTCAGTGCTTTTCCCAGCAGGAGTGCTACTGCTCAAATGAACAAACTTTCAGCAATGAAAGGCTGTAACAGAAAGTATCTTCAGTGCAGTAATTTCATTGTAATCTATAGGCAGGAAAAAGACAAAGCAATGCCCTCTCCAAGTCCTCCTGTTCTGTTCTGATCATCTGCTTAAGTTTCCATACCATTGTTACTTACTTCCTGAAGGACGTAATGGCCTTTTTTAAAATCTGCTATGTCCATGCAGTATTTAGTAGCAAAGAGGTTTGAAGTTGGTCATTTTTTGGGTATTATTTCTTGTGGTGAACAGATTCTGCCAGGCTGGCCTGTCCCTGCCCATGCTTTGGGATATGGTAATTATCCAGACAGAAAGGGAATGAATGGCTCTCCTCTTTGTCGTTACTATTAGCAAATAGACAACTTTAGAAAATTTAAATTTTGAATGTAATAATATAGGAAAAAATTTGGTGTAAAGGTATTTATTCCTTCATCAAACTAACAGGTTCTTTATGAAGGCTGGAGAGACATCCTCTAACTGCCCTAAAGTTGGAATAGAAAGTAGTTGGGTGTTAAAAAAACCCTAGAAGTTGGAGAGGAGGAAGGGTTGTTGGTTTTTTTGATGGGGAGGGGGGTAGCACAGCTACCATTAAATGAGGGGAAGCTTTTGAGACCAATAGCTGTAGCTTCTAAAAGAATACAGAAGCATGTTTTGATTGCCATGTGCATCTTCAAATCTCTGGAAAGATCCTCTGAACGCTTCATTCAATTTGCTTGATTGCTACTAGAATATAGCATGTTAACACAAGGAAACATTTGTAAAACTGCTGTTACCCTGTTGGCAGTGTGGAGCCTTCTTCTTGAAGCCATTCTCTTTTGCTGTACTAGTGTTTGGGGTGTGAGAAGAGCATTAGCTAAATAAAAAAAATTTGGCCACTTAGAATTAAATTGTGACGTCTGCTTGAAGTGTGCATAGGGCTAAAACCCCCAAAAGGTTCTTCAAGAAAGCAGCAAGGCTGGAATTGACCTACCAATGGTCAATTCTCTAGCAATGAGAAATCAGTTTTCCATGTGTCATCATGGACCCTGAAAATGGGAGGAAGATCAGAGCAGGTTATTGTATCTTTTGTAAAAATACTGCATCTTCTGTTTTCCTCTAAGGATGCAGGAAGCCCGTGTGCTACCAGGCATGTAAAATACCTGGTGCTGACACTTGTTTCCAGAGATATGCACCTGAAGTACATGACCAGCTGGAGTTTTGAAAAACTTCTAGATGACTAACATGGGGATGGTTCTAGACTGTCAGCATTCGTGAGAAGCCTCTTGGACAAAAGAACAGCCACATCTTTCTTACTAGTACCTGCCAGTCATCACATGGCAGATTTTTTTTATTCTTTCCTAGCAGGGAAAAAAAAATCACCCTCATCTCACTCTTACTCAACATCTAGCATATTGTGAGGGGTTGAATACAAAAAGGTTGTATTTCATTTAAAATCTTGTGCTTTTTCTACTAAGCAAATAAATGCTTGTATCAAATATATTGCTTATATGTTATATTACTGCTGTATTTCTCCCTCTTGGAATCTTTTTTTTTTTTTTTACCCAGATGGAACATGTTCCCTATCAAGTTTCTTATGCTACAAAACAGTTGAGTTATTTGAGATCTTAACCATTGCTAATAGCCATGACTCATTTTCACTATGCAAGCATCTTCTGCTGTTTTAGATGTTGCCTAGTTTTTTTGTGTATTTTTCTTTCATAGCTTGTCTGCTCCAAGGAGAGTGATAGGTAGGAGCATCAACATAAAGGGTAGGTGCTGCAGTACTAAGGTACAACTTCCTTCGTAGCTTGAGGTCTGTCTTTCAAAGCTCCTTGGGATCTTCAGGTTTTACACAGGAAAAGGGAAAATAAAATGCTTTTGGGATATGTGAGTGACAGATTCTGTAGAACAAGAAGGAACTACATAAAATGCTAAGTATGCCTATTTAGAAGAATTGAAGGGAAATCTGTCTGGCTTTCATAAGAACTTATACATAAATGGGTAAACCATTCAAGGAAAGATACAATCTAAAATATTACCAGTGTTAACAAAAAAAACCAAACCAAATCACCACCATTTTTGCTGTTGCTTGCAAAATTACGTCAGATGCCTTTCTGGGGAATACTTGTTAATATCTGTGGAGAACCTGAGTGCTTGTACAGAATATGGATTTTCTAGTCCTTGTGAGTACCCCTTCTGTTGATGGACAGAGACTTTCATGAGACAGTCCCATTAATATGAGCTACTGGAATTCTTTCAAAAGATATTTCTTGCTGGGTTCTATGAAGAGATGGAAAAGGTCTGTCTTTACCAAGGACAAGTTATGAGAAAACCATGGCTATACTTGGGTATAGTCTTCATATTTAGTGGTGATAAAAATGGCCCCTTCGCCAGAGGAGTGATAAAATGGTTTTTCTTTTCAGCCGCAGGAACATGAACAAGGTCCCCTGTGTTAGTCATAGAGAAATAGTGTGGAGCAGGAGGTTTATATTTGTTTTTAGGGTTTTTTGAAAGTATTGCCAGCTGACTGCTGACTATAAGTTCAGATATCATATGTGGACTATAACATATAAGACATTTTTAGTCCTAAATGCTTGGATTTTCTTCCTCAAGCCTAATATCTTTAGAGGTTAAACAAACTTTTTTCTTTTCTTTCTTGTTTGACTTTTGATTCTTATTCCTTGTAGATCAAGAAATCTTACGAAAATTGGAAAAGGAGAAGATTCTCGTGTTCACACCATCCCGGCGCGTGCAAGGGAGAAGGGTGGTGTGCTATGATGACCGATTCATAGTGAAGTTGGCCTTTGAATCAGATGGCATCATTGTCTCTAATGATAACTACAGGGATCTAGCTAATGAAAAGCCAGAATGGAAGAAGTTCATAGATGAACGCTTGTTGATGTATTCATTTGTTAATGACAAGTAAGTCATTCTGTCTTTACGTGTGCCACTAAAATAGAGGAAAGGACAGTTGGAAGATTTGTACAAGTTTTTCATCTTACATCCAAATCATTAGGTATATGTAGGAAAACAAGAGGAATAGTCAATCATAAATTTGGTCTTCTGATTAGAAGTACTTGAAACTGTTTTTGAAGCAATTTTTAGGTCTTTTTATCCTATTTTTTTCTCTTTGGTGTTTGCCAATGTATATTTTATGTATGTTATGGTATAATATTCCAGTTCCATTGATATACCGAGCAAACATTTTGGAGTGCCTGTGGTTAGACTTCTAAGTCCTATAGTCATAGAAAAACCCAAACTGAAATGAACTTCAGGGGGTTCGTAGTTCAACTGTCTGATTAGATCCATCTATTGTGACTGTACCCCAGCCTACAGATCAACTGCAGTTACTGCTGGTGGTTTCTTGTAGTGGGAGGAACTCAGTGCTCCCCTAAGCAGGCACTTGTGTTGAGGTGCCTGAATGCTGATGCAAGAATCTAAGGCCATCACCACAGTTTTGCAAAGCTAGTAGTGGTCTTTTAAGAAATGGCTGCCTGTATTGCAGCCCTTACTTTTGATTTTGGGATGGGTTATTTGCAGCCCCACTTTGCCACAAAGCATCAGCTGAGCTGGACCAAAGGTGTCTGAAGCAGTCTAGAGGTGTCCACACAGTCTGTTCCTGTGACCTACCTCTAAGGCAGCAGAAAGATGGCCTTTCAAAACTGCTCTTGAGGTTCCCGGAATTAAAAACTACAGGATGGCAGTTATGGTGTAGCATAGTCATATATGTTCTTGGTCATTGCATGAGAAGTATGAAAGGGCTTGTTTGCTTCCATAATACTTCGTTCTTTCTTTGTAGATTTATGCCTCCTGATGATCCTCTTGGCCGCCATGGTCCAAGTCTGGACAATTTCCTTAGGAAGAAGCCTATTGTGCCAGAGCATAAGAAGCAACCATGTCCATATGGTAATTTGATTTAACCCATGAATCTTTATGTACTGGGACTGGGGACCAAGATCCTGCTTTATTTTAACATTGACAAAACTGTTTAAAACTCTTTAACATTGGTTTTAACGTTGTTGTTGTAGCCTGACATGGGTTGAAATGCTGAGCTGATGGTGGAAACTGAAGCAATGTTTTTATGTGCTACTTAAAAAACATTTCTGTGAAACATTTCTGCCTACTAGTTGAACTAAAGGAGCAGCTTAATTAAACATTCATTGGAATAAATCCAAATCAACACCTGCAGGTTCAGAAGCCCTTTCTAATGTCATGAGATACTGAGGTTTTCTTTCAGAGAATTAATTGAGCTATCTGAAGTTTAGCTACTGAGCATTCTTACAAGCATCTTGGCTGACCTGAAACCTGCTGGCCATATGGCTGTGGGACTTCTCTATTAAGTTTTCTGCCTGTATATTGCCTTGGCCCAACACAGCAGGTGTGTACAGCCTCCCTGGCAGTGCCACATCCAGCTCAAAATGTGGCTGGTAGTGTTGGTCTGCATTCCCAGAGCACCAGCTGCAGGACACTACCAGCACCTCTTTTTTCCCCACAAAACAGGAGATGTTCTTAAAGCACACCCTGTGTTGCACAAAACCAATCTTGTTTGCAAGATCTTTCAAAACAACAGTAGAACTTCATATGAGGAGCTTTTCTGTTATTTGATGTCAAACATATTTGTTTGAAGTTTTTTTAAATCTGATTCTGTTTGTATTAATAGGGAAGAAATGTACCTATGGACACAAATGCAAATACTACCATCCAGAAAGAGGAAATCAGCCTCAGCGATCTGTAGCTGATGAACTTCGTGCCATGTCTAGAAGCACAGCTGCCAAAACTACAAGTGAAGGAGGACTGGTAAAAAGCAATAGCGTTCCCTGTAGCACTAAAAGTGATGGCACTTCAGAGCTGAAGCGTGCTGCTCCAAAGAGGCAATCGGATCCTAGTATAAGGACTCAAGTCTACCAAGACTTGGAGGAAAAGCTTCCCACCAAAAACAAATTGGAAACCAGGTCTGTACCTTCTTTAGTTAGTATACCAAGTTCCTCTGCTGGAAAACCCCAAAGTACTGCACCTTTAACTAACGGCCTTCCATCCGGAGTTCACTTCCCACCTCAGGATCAAAGACCACAGGGACAGTATCCTACAGTGATGATGGCAACCAAAAATCATGGAACACCAATGCCTTATGACCAGTATCCAAAATGTGAATCTCCGGTGGATGTAGGCTATTACTCTATGCTGAGTGCATATTCAAACCTCAGCATGTCTGGACCACGTAGTCCTGAGAGGCGCTTCTCCTTGGACACAGATTATCGGATTAGCTCTGTAGCCTCCGACTGCAGCAGCGAGGGGAGCATCAGCTGTGGCAGCAGCGATTCCTACGTGGGTTACAGCGACCGCTCTTACATGAGTTCACCTGACCCACAGCTGGAGGAGAACTTGAAGTGCCAGCACATGCACCCCCACGGCCGCCTTAACGCTCAGCCCTTCCTGCAGAGCTACCACGAGCCCCTCGCTCGAGTGCAGAGCTATAGTCACGAAGAACCAAAGCATCACCACAAATCTCCCATTCCGTATATGGCTGTGCATCTGCAGCATCCAGCAGTCGGTGCTCGTTCCAGCTGTCCGAACGACTACTCTGCACCTCAGAGCTCATCTCATTCGAAGACCCTGCATCTGGGGAGAGCCTTGGTGTCCACAAGAATAGACAGCATTTCAGACTCGCGTTTGTATGAAAACTCTCCGTTAAGACACAGGAAGCCTTACTCTGGCCAGGAAGGGCTGGGAGGTTGGGATAGGCAGAGTTACGGGATGGATGCCTACGGCTACCGCCAGACGTACTCCTTGCCCAGCAACCCCACGCAGCCATGCTACGAGCAGTTTGCCTTCCAAAGCCTTCCCGAGCAGCAGGACCAGCCCTGGCGCATACCTTACTGTGGAATCCCGCAAGACCCCCCAAGGCTCCAAGACACCCGGGAGAAGGTTTACGTTAACCTCTGCAACATCTTCCCCCCCGATCTCGTGAGGATGGTGATGAAGAAGAACCCTCACGTGACGGACGCTCAGCAGCTCGCTGCTGCCATCTTAGTGGAGAAATCTCAGCTAGGTTATTGAGAGATGACGCATCTTTGTGGTGTCTCGTAGTTTTCAGCTCAGCTCTACCGCTGAGGGAGGTTTGCTACAATAGCATTTGGGATCTCCTTCTCAGCAAGGAGGTTATATAGTAATCCGTTTATGTGAAATAGTGTATCATGGAGTCTGTATGTATAGCCCCATGCATTGAAAGTACCAGATAAGTTTTGTGTTCTAGTTTGAAAATTTTTAAATGGCTATTTTCACATCTGGAGGATGTTCCAGTTTAAATTAATATATATATATATATATATTAAAAAAAAAAAATCTGTGGTCTCTGGTTATAATCTTTGGTGCATCAGGGGTTTATATGCAGCACTTTCTTATCACTGTTACATTTTGTTGGGATTTTTGGTTTCGTTTTTTAACTTGCTGGATGCTTATCCTTGAGCTGTGAGATATTAAACTACAGAATGAGGATTTTGCTGTTTCTGGCAGGCAATTTTCAAGCCAATTTTCAAGCCAAGTTTCTGAACTTTTTAAACCACCATGAGTATGTCTGATGTATGTTTGTTTTTGTGAGCTTTTTCGTGCTGTAATCACCTGTTTGTAGAAAACAAAGATTTCCTACAGCACTGACTTCATTTTTTGAAACAAATAATTAAGTTACCAGTTAACAGTGAAATGGGTAACAATATATTGGTAATTTATAGTATGGCACTTTTTGTTGCTTTCTTTCTTTTGCTTAAATAGTTACATGTTTTTGTTAGTGCAGTCAATTAGTAAGATCAGATGCAAACAGAAGAGGAAAAAATTTTTTATTTTTTACTAATTTATGGATATGTTAAAAGCCTTATTGCCTGATTTTCAGAGGTACTGAGAATTTGCAGCCCCTTTGGAAGCTAAGAGAAATTGCAAATGCTCAGAACCACTCCAAACCAGGCCACCCTGTTTCAGTGCCCGTGTGTTTTTACCCAGTTGTGTGTATCTCTGGTCAGTAGACGGGGACCTGAAATCGTAGGGCCCTGTTTAGTTGTTTTATATGTTTTTCCTTTGTATTGCTGCACAACTGTACTGGATAAAATATGCTTTTTATAAAGTATTTACCTGTTTTTAAATGAATTTAATTATCTCAATGCAAGTTTTGTATTTAAAATACTGTTTGATTTTTCTTGCTATTTATCAAGGCTGGCCTGAAAAGGTTTTGTGTGTTCAGGATATGCAACATTTATTATCTGCACTATGGTAATGATATTGTAGCTCAAAATAATATCTTAAACTTTTTTTTTTTCTTTTTTGGCAGGGGAGGGTTGTGGGGAGAGAAGATACCATATGTGTTCCTGGAGTTAGTTTTTTTGCTTTTTGCATTGTGTAGGCCTGATTCTTGCCACAAATAGTGTAGGTTTAGAAACAGACAAGCCAAGTCTGTTTTAGCATTAGTAAGGGATATTTCTGGTTTAAAGTCATGGGTTTTACTAGCACCTCTTAAGCTTATATATATATATATATATGTATATACATATATATATATATATATATATATATATATGAAAAATAGTTTTTGCAATTGATGTCAGATGTACTTCCATTACATGATCAGTTGCCGACAGTTTTAGGCTTCCATCTATTGTAATGATGTTCAGTGTTAAAAAAATGTCACTCGTTTACACTATTACAGCTGATAATTTTGGTACATTTGCTGGAGTTTTAAGTAAGGCCCTGAAGAACCAGAAAGTACCTTTTACTGTTGATACAAATTGTATCTTTTTAACTGAGAACTATTTTGATTTGTAGATTAGAAATACAAATGTAAAATTATAACTAGTCTTTTGGGCAACATTTTATCCCTTATTTAAAAATTAGAGATTTCAGACATAGAATAGATTTAGGCAAGTAAAAGTAGGTATTTATTTAGGTGTCTCTCTCAATTTCACATACTAAAACGAAGAAATAGACTATTGGCATCTTCTTACTTCTAAAATCTTTGTAGTGGAAACTCACTAAAATAAAGGTAAAATGCTGCCTGAAAATGATGTCCAAGCACCTTTGAATACGAAGACGTTTTCACTACTTGTGTGACACCATGTGTTGCAGCAAGTAGGGTTTGGGTATACAGTAAATGCTTCTAAAGAGCATTGTGCTATAGACTTATCCAATAATCTGAACCATGTTCAGCAAACCAATTCAGGACATGGTGCTCCTGCAGCTTCCACTGCCAGAGCACTGCAGGTTCTGCCATTGCCTGTTCCCGTGGCATGGCCAGAGGGGCTCTACACCATCTGTCCTGCATTGTCTGTTTAGGGAGAAGACCTCTTCACCTGTGGCAACAGTTTTTCCCTGGATTTGGTTGGTCGCCATCCGTAGAGCAGCCTTGAATGTAGAGATTGGTGCAGTGCTAACGCTGAGGTTTGGAGTGGGAAATGGGTCTCATCTTAGTTGTACGCTGAGATTTGGTTAAATTGAATTACACTGAAGTACTACACCATAGTGTAGATGCAGCTGTTTTAATAATGCAATTATTGTGTTTGTGGTTTTAATAGGTTTCTACATTTATTTTTATGTAGGTATTTACTTCTGCCAAAAGTTCAATTCCTTTAAGCATGAACTGAAATGTGTATGTTCCTTTAAGCATGAACTGAAATGTGTTATTTCCTGTGATGTGGGCACCAGGATGCTCCTGCCATGCACATGTAACAGTCTGGCCTAGAGCAGGGGCTCAGCAACTGAGATACCAGTGTGAGGAGCTGCACTGCCCAGGCCTGAGTTACCTGTGTCCATTGCCTCCACATACAGCCAGGGCAGTACTGAATCCCCAAAGGGTGGTGGTCACTAGGGAATTCTTGTGATAGGTTCTGTGCTATGCACCCAAGCACTGAAAATGCTTTAAAAATACAAGAGCAGGAGTAATTTGGTGGATATTAATGTTGTGCAATGATGTGCTAGTTCCCCTTAGACTCACTTTTGTTCAGTAAAGGAAATTTATTGTGGACAAAATGTTTGCCTTGATACTTCCTTTTGTTTTGCTGTGGTAACAGATGGAGGAATTGTGTGTGAACATCTCCATGATGAGATCAGTCTGTATATTTAACAGCTCCTAAAGAGTACACCAATAACAAACATGGATGCAGTGGTATTACCTTTATCTATGTAATTGCATTGATGCAAATAACTGAGCTGTAACCTGCCATGATCCTTAAATAGCAGAGGTAATTCAGTGATACTGTCTTGGCCCCAGCTGAGTGCCAGAGATGCAATGAAAGATATAGTACCTTCAAATTAGAGCTGTCCCTCAACTAAGAAGAGGGCAAAACTTCCCTTTGTCTTCATTACTTGAGAGTTGTTTTGATACCTAGCAGAAACTTGTATTTTTAGATAAAATCCCAAGCTGTTATAACTGCATCAGTAATAGTATATAGCTATACAGTATTTCTAATGCACATACATTACACATCTCCCCACAACTGTTTTCAATACATGTCACAAATATTTAAGAGTTTTTAAGTATGTCCTGTAGATAACTAACTTTGAGCTAAATATGACAGCCTATGACAGTATTAATCACTTTGGTTTTTTTTTTTTCAAATATGTGGGTTTCATATATATATATATATGTACGTATATGTATATATATGTGTGTGTGTATATGTATATATTTGTATATATACACACATATATTTGACAAGTGGATTTAAGATACTGCTAATGGTCTGAGGTAAGATCATACCTTCCCAGGTGTCCCATTTTCTTTGGTATGTCTGAATTGTAGCTTGGTCCTCCATTGCAGAGTAGCTCTGGGGAGAGCCCAAAGCCTGATGTGTCGGTGTGATGCCCTGAAAAGAGAAGGCATGCCAGGCTGGGGAAAAACCTCAAAGGAGACTCCTGCAGTCTCAGCGGGTGCGGACTGTAGCTGAGATGTCGATGAACTTCTGCTGTGAAAGTTGTAGCTGATGGTGGACACCTTCCCAAAAATATCAAAGCTGCCAGTGTAAACCAGAGTACCTCACGTGGAAGGGAACACTGAGGGCATTTGCCCCAGCAGGGTGAGCACCGGAGGACTGAATGCCTTGGGTGAGAGATGCTGCACCATCTTGCCACAGTAAGAGACTACCAAAACATTCACCAGTTTTATCAGTTGATGGTTCAACCAAGGTATTTTCAATGTGTGAAGTTTGAAAAATGAGACAGAATGCTTTCCTGCTCTGTGGAGCATTTAGAAAAATACCCAACTGACTTTCCATTGCTACTGAAAATTTAAAATACTGTGCAATTAAAAAGACCATTAAAAAAAAACCTTAGAAATTATTTATTTTTATTTACAGTGTGACTTGCTAATTTATTCCTTGCATTATAAGGCCATGGTGGAATGCTGTTTGTTGAACTTTTTTTATCATAGGAACTAAAACTGCTGAGAAGAAAAACCAGTAGACTTAAAATTCTATGGCCTTGTTTTGTTTTCTGTAAAAGGGCTGAGGTTTTATAAGTGTCAAATCACATGTTTTATATATTTTGTAAATTCTAGAGAGGCATTGTTTAAGAATTTTGTGCAAATTAAATATGTTTGGGCACATTGTTTAGACTAATCATAGACTAAACCTAGAATCACCTGTATTAAATGGTTTTTCCAGCTAACCTTTTGCTCAGTAACACGAGAGATGTTCAAATTTCATCTTTAGATGTTCTAGAATACATTTCTCAAGGTTTTGTGAGAAGCTGCTGGCCTAGGCACCCAATCACACGGGAAATGCACATTTGCAAGGGAAGCATCCTGCAGAGTGCTGGGTTTTCCTTGCCATGCAGCCCAGGGAAATGTGCTGGTGCACATCAGGTCTCTCACAGATGTTTATAGAGGCACTACCAAATACTATGTGTGGTTCATAGTTATCAGTGTTCTTGAAATAATTTTCCATCTTCCGGTCTTAAAGGGTTGTCATAACTTGTGCTTGGAGTGTTTATTACTCTGTCTACCCTTTAAGCTAAATGACTGCAATAGTTCTCATTCCCTCTCACACTCAATAGCCGTGGGAGGGCATCAACACTTACACCTGACTTCAGCAGAGGCAGAGGTGTGGGCTGGTTTAGTGGTGTGAGGGAATACCTGGGTCAGACTGGCGTGTGTGTAAGTGCAGCTGGGCTGGGACCTTGAGGAACACAGAGCCACCTCCTCCCAAGCACAGGGGAGATCTCACTGGTGCTGACAGGTCTGCAGGGTTTGGCCAGGATTGCCCTTTGCAGGCTTTGGGAACACCTACAAACCAAATTTACTTAGATATTGAAGCACATCCATCCTCTCTTTTTCAAAGTATAACAATCTACTGTTTGCCTTATAAAACAAAA